CAAGCTGAGAGACCCACATCTTTCTCCCACAACCTACCATCAGCCTAGTGCCCACACCGATTTGTGCTGCAGCCAGCAGAGGTTCATCTGGCATCTTAGTAGGTGTGAAATCCACATTGGCTCATCCCAGCCCTGCTGTCTTTGCTTCCTGTTCCTCCTGTGCTCCCCCAGCTTCTGAGATGGACATAGCATTGCCCAGAGAAGGATCTCCACAGCAAAAAGAAGTCCAGGGATGTCCCAGCTATCCAATGGCCATTTGGGCGCCTTGTGCCCTTGTAAGCTGGACCCAGCCTTTGGTCTGGGAATGCCATCAGTGAAACACCTAGGCCAAGAAGGATGGGCACAAAGCTGCCCCTTGCTAGCAGCAGAGATTGCACTCCCTGACGGAGCTCTTCCATCAAACCCCCAGCAGAAAGGGGGATGCTGTTCCCCAGGAGCTCATTCCCATCAATCCAGCCCAAAGAATTAGCAACATCCATCCCCCCAAGCCCAGCTCACACAAGAAGCTCTTCCAGTGCTCAGCACAGGGCCATAAACATCCATGGGACATTTGCCCAACATGGGGAGCTGGCAGACCCCCAGAATCTCTCCTTCTGATCCCTCAAAGTAAACTGAGATCTCTTGCTAGGGAAATGAAGGGGCTGGCAATCACCAGCTGTTCACAGCCAACAACACTCTATAGCTTCAAGTTTGGCCTTTTTCTGGCCTGAAGTGAGATGAAATAGAGATTGTCAGGAGTTGAGACACCACTTTCACCAGTTTTAAGCGGGTTTAGAGCATTATGCACAGAGCTCTAATTCCAGCAAGCACCCACAGCCAGGGTTTAACCTGGCAGCACATGGCCTACGTGACTCCCCAGCACTTCCAAGGGCTCTGCACCAGGACAATAGTCAATTGAGGCCCTGCTCAGCCCCAGCCTTTGCTGCCAGGGTGAGCCAAGGTCAGCAGCACAGGCAGGGCTCACTCAAGGCCAGCAGCCCGCACAGGCAAGCTCAAGGTTTTGGCCAGAAGCAGCTCAGCCCACTCAGTGCCTCTTCCCACCAGGAATGGCCAACGCACTCCCAGACATGCCCCGGTCTGCCGGCCCGGTGAGCCAACAGCGGCACGCAGACAGACAGACGCCATGGGGCACAGCATTGGCAGCTACTCTCCTCCAGCTCCCCCACTGGCAGCACAAGCCTCAGCCCGCAGAGGCACAGATCATCCTGCTCACCCCACCGGGCACAACCACGGTCTTTCCCTGGACTCGCACAATTGGTCTCTCTGGTGGACACAGCCCCTCAGCCCCCAAAATGCTCCCAGCACGGCACAGGGCAAGAAAGGCTGCAAGCTGCCCTGCAAAGTGAGATGTTGGGATGGTTTGCTGGCAGCTTTGAGGGAAGCCAACCAACCAATGAGCGGCTATTTGTGTCCACCAGAGAAGCTCCCATCTGGGGCTGCTGTGCCTGGTTGTTAGCATCAGCAATGCTCAGTAAGGACCGACCATCTTACTGGTGTGAGAAAGCATGAAGTCAAGCTTAAGCAAGCTACCAACAAGACCAAGGGAGGAAGCCTGGCTTATTTTTACACCAGACCCTGGCTGTGGTCATGGTTCTTCTAGAGCCCTCTAGCCCAGTTACAAGAATATTATGTGAAGCAAGCAGCTCTTGCACGTAGTCTGGGCTCACATCAGCTTCAGCCCCTAGAGTCCCCTCTCTAACTGTCTCCCCATCCATAGGGAAAGGGATTCTCATGGCACCAGCTGCCAGCAAAGCCCCTGTCTCAGGAGGGGACAGGGGGTGCTCAAGCCCCTGCACAGAGTTCCCCAGTTCCCTGAGCACAAGTTGTGCTCTGCCAGGACACAGAGTTGATCCTCCCTGCACTAGCGGTGCTCAGGAACGCTCCCAGGACACCCTGTGCCCGCCCAGAAATCCTCAGAATGAGAAAAATGTAGTATGGAATAGCATCGGCATTCTTTCATTAGAGACCCGCAATGCCAGCCAGAGAGAGCTCCGGGTGTCTTGGCAAAGCAGGGGGCTGCAAAATCACAAAAAGTCACAGCGGTTACCATCAAACTGTCTCTTGCCTAAGAGCAGGAGTCTGAATTTTGATCCCAGCCACTGCCACATTATTGGTACCTTCAAGCCCTCAAACCACAGATGAGTAAGCACCAGGATGGAGGTGGGACATGCACACCAAGGACTCAAAAGCACAAGGGTGGAGGTGGGAGAGGAGGTCACACCAAGCACCCAGGAGTACACGGATGGAAATGGGACACTCACACCACAAACCCAGCCCTCAAACCAGGACCAAAGCAGCACTGGGATGGAGGCAGGAGAGGAGGTCACACCGAGGGCCCAGCAGCACTCCGGTGACTGCGGTTTCAGTAATTCACTACAGCCCCACGTGGATTTTCCCTAGCTACAAAACTACTCTGCAGCGGCTCTAAGGATACAGTGAGTCATACCAATACCACTAGTGAGAGGCTCCCACTTTCTTAAGAGTCTGTTATAGGCTGATTCCAGAGGAGGAAATGGGAAAAGCCATAAAAGTGCAACAGTAGATTTGTACTACAGGCCCTAATGAGATGCACCTCCCAAGCCTACGTGCAGCTTTTCAACTCCTCATAAAGGAGATATAAAATGACAGCATTAAAGTCACTGGGTATTTTCCACCTTAGCTGCCAGATAAATCAGGCCAACTGTGCCAAATAGGAGCCAAGAGAAAGCACACGCGACCATTCACACCTTTTCCAGGTAACGCCTCCTGCAAGGGAACAATGTTTCACACCTTTCCAAGGAGCTAGGACAGCCACAGGCACCCCCACAGAGAGATTTGCCATACACGAGCAGAACTTTTTTTCTAGCTGGGAGGTGCTTCACCCCAGAGGTTCATCTAAGACCAAAGAAGTTCCTTCCCGACAAAGGCACTATCAGGAGCTTGGGGGAGTTTCTTTACACCCAGCACACCCCCAGCTGCTCCCTGCCCTGGCCCATTTCTCAGCACCGCTCCTTTCCTTCCAGACACAGCCAAGGAAACCTCAGCGCAAAGACACCCAGGAGAATCCAACAGCGCTAAATTACCTCACTTAGCATGAAAATGGGATGCCTGTGCACCACAAAAAGACTTAAGGCTCACAGAAAGGCACAAAACCAGAATCATTATACCTGCTCCCTTGTGATGCAACTAAGAAAAACCATCTTCTTCCTCAGCAAAAAACCTGAAGCTGGAGAACAGGAGTAACCCTTGTGCAAAAGGTCCACACTTAAAGGGCAGGGTGTGAGCACTCAGGCCATTTACTGTTTCAGAACACAAATTCCACCTCTCCTGCCAAAGATACAATTCAAAATTTCCTTATGATCCTCCTGTTCACACTCATCCCCTTTGCCTGAGTCAGCTTTCAAACCCTCCGGCGTTGTTCACTTTCATGATGCATTTGTGCACCCTTCAGCTGCAGGACTCCTGCCCGACCTGCAACACCCACCCTGGCTGAAGCATTCCAGCAGCATGTCTGGAGCCCAGCCCCGCTAAGCTCCCTGAGCATCTCACCCTGGGGCCAACAAACACCTGCCAGAGGCCACCAGGCTTCAAAAAGAGCAGATCCCAGGACCAGAGCCGGTAGGTGCTGGCTCTAGGAGTGTTCTGACACTTGCTGCCCAGCAAGTGTAAGCTACCAGCAGCCACCACTGAGTTCTAGCAGCCCCAGCTTTCTGCTGCTGGTCATTGCAATGCCTCTCCAGCTGAGTGATCCACACACCAGAGGGGGGATGCATGCCCTAAACACCTATGGGGCCACCAAGACCATACTACCACCTCCTCCATAAGCAAGGCAGAATAGAGCTCTAAAGGCACCTTTCCTGGAGCTGGAGCACGGTTCTGCAGTCTATCCTGCACAGCCAGCAGGGGATCGCGGTGCTGAAGGACTTGGGTGACTCACCCACCTGAGCAGCCTCGAAGGCCCGAGGTCCAGCTCTGAGCACCTGCCAAGAGGAGTCACCTGAAGGCCGGCATGAGCGGCACCGCGATGCAGGGCTCACCCAGATGCTGCAGGCTGCAGGAGTGCTCCCCATGGGGACAGGGGGTACCCCCGTGCACCCCAATACCACAGACCCACTCCCAGGACATGGCTCCCACGCAGCTTCCAGGCCCTCCCTGCCTTTATCAAGAGCCAAACACGCACAGTGATCACCTCCTCCCTGCGCCCCAGAGTTTATCGAGCACCCTCAAACGGTGCGGAGATTCCCCCGCGCGGCCCCATAAACACGCAGGGGAGCGGCCTGAGGGGCCGGGCAGGGGAAACGAGGAGCTCCCCAGGACAGGGAACCCCACCTCGGGGCAACTGGGCTACCCGGGCCCCCCGAGGCCACCACCATCCATCCTCACCGTTCGCCGGGATGAGGAGGCAGGGGAAACCCCACCCCGGGGTGCTACTGCCGGTGAGAGAGGGACGGGGGCGGGCAGGGCACTGAAGGATCCTCACCACGCGGCCATACCAGAGCGGGAACAAAACATGGCTCCCCCCTCAGCTCGGGGGCGGGGGAGCCCGAAGCGGCAGTTCCAACACAGCCAGAAACGCCGGTGTGGAACCAACTGGCCACCGAACAGACGGGCTGCGCGACCGGCCACAGGGGCTGGCCCCCGCCCCAGGACCATCACCGGCTCCGGGACCTCGCAGCCGGGCCGGGAGCTGCGGCCCGGGGGAGCGCGGAGCCGCCAGAGCGCGTGGGGCCCCCAGAGCCAGGGCCTGACCCCGAGTCCCCCCCGCTCGCTCGCTCGCTCGCCCCCTCGCTCGCCCGTCCCGTCGCGCCACGTGTGCCGCCCGCGCCCTACCTGCGGGTACCGCCGCCGCCGAGTGCGGCCGCCCCCGCCCCCGCCGCTATAAGGGCGGAGGGGCGCGGGGGGCGGGAGCGGGGCGTGGCAGGCCGCGCTCCGCCCCCGCGCGCCACGTGCG